CCGATTCCTACTTCTTCCCTTTGACCACCTATTTAATGGAATTAAACCTGATTCCTACTTTTTCCCTTTTACCACCTATTTCCTCCTTCCTTTCTCAATTAAACTGCCATCTCACCATTTGGCCTTTCACCTCCTTGAAAGCTCACAATTCTTGATCTTCTTAATCTAGGATCATTACCATCAATCACTCCTTTAGGCAAGTAAAATCTTTTTCACAGAGGGATGCCAGAGGCCTACAGATCTCTTGGGTCGATAATATTGTTTTAGTTCTGGTGCCAGTTGTGGTTTTTGACTAAACTGTGCCTAGTGCTATCTTTTGCTGATTAGATGCTCCAGAGTGATCAGCAGAAATTTGCTTGGACTGTGGTTCCTTCCAGGTTGAGTCATTTAGTGGGGAGATCAAGGATTAACTTAATTAAATCAACTACTACTTTCACAGGGTTAGGGATCTTGCTAAGATTAATGAGGACTAAGGTTAATGAGGACCAAGTTTTCCTTTCCTATGTCTTAGTACCTTTAAGACAGTACCACTCACCAGACTTGCCTCACTGCAGCTCCCCTCACATCCTGTACACTGTCCATTATATATATATCTCAATGTATTTCCCATCTGCTTCTCTGAAATGGATCATTCTGAGTTTTTCTACATCTTTTACTGAGTACAAGCTTTTCTGCTGGCCCACTTTGCAAGGCTCCTTCTTATTCATCTATTCCCTGAAGCACCAATCAAAGCGGCTGCACAAAATACACAAATTTCCCTTTGTGTATAATTAATCTACTGGACAGTGCTGTGGTAAACACACCTTTAGGTAACCACAAATTATTATTGTTTTAACCAGTGTCCTCTTTGCTCCCCTGTTGTCTGCATTGTTTTCTTAGAGCCCACTGAAGCACCTACTGCACTGCCAGGTCCTGTAAAAAAGAAAAAAATACTAAGATAACAGAAACCTTAGAAACAAGGCAAATCTTAAGGCATACCAGATTGCAATGTTTGAATGCAATTTTTTTCAGAAGCTCTTCCTAGATTTTTTTCTCCTCTGGCACCATGCTGTCCAAATGCTAGTAACACCAGTTTCAGAAGTCCTGCCCCAGGAGTAGTACCATTGATATTAATGATACACTGAAAGAACAGAAAACAACTTCACAGAGCAAATGCATTTTCTGAATGCTGCTGAAGCTTTGGAAATGTGATATATTTCTCTGAATTCCTCTAGCTAAACTTTCTCATTTGTATTTGTTTTTACATATATTTCTTACCTTTTAGAGATTTTTTCATATGTTCGGATTTTCTTAAATCCAGTGTATAAATCCAGTATATTTCAGAATCATAACAAGGAAATATGAGGAGAGAAATATATCAAGAGACCTAAGAACAGATTTGTGTATTACATGTGGATTAAAAAAAAAAATAAACCTGTCAGCAACTAACCAAACAAATTTACTACATTTTTAAAATTAAAAATCTTAAACAGAAAGCACTACAGTAAGGATTTAATAACTCTATTACTTATTAATGTAAAATTTTCCAGTTGAAAGATACTATCTTAGCAAACATTTAGTGAAGTCTTGTGGTAAACTAGACATAACAGAAATTTTTCTTTGGGTTTTTATGTTACCTTTTGGGTTACATTTCCTAATTTTTAAAAGACTTTTCAAAAATTTCAGAAAGGGAAAGATCCTGAAAATGTTATGTAAAAGCACTCTTGGATACTTGTGCTTTTTTAAAGAGAATATGGAACATATTTGGGAGGGGGTTAACAAAGGAATAAATGAACATTGTAATACTAGTATCCGCTATAAAAACTTTACTCCTGATCACCTTGTGTTGTTTTCAAGGGCTTTGAAATTATTTCCCTAACAACCCTGGTGGATTAAAAAAGAAAAATAAAACCATTATCATATTCCTGCTTTTTAACATACACGCTGTGTTCTCTTAAAATGCACTGGGTTATCAGCATTACAGATGCTCTTTAAATAGCAAATGGATGCACCCCTGGTGTCAGCCACACTGAAAGCTTGCCAGTACTTCCTTCCTAAAATGCTCCATCTCCAATCCATCCATGTAGGCTAAAAGTCTCCCTCACTCAGTTTCTTGCAGAAGTTATCAGTAAAAATGCAAATTAATTGTGACTATGACTTTTTTTAAAAACAAAGGTAACAACCATTCCTGCAGAAGTGCCACCTATCTAATCAATTTGGTCAAGCTATTTATACACGTTTCTTCTATGTGGCATAAGATTTCACTAAGGTCAATGGAGACATTGATGCCTGGTAAATTGCCAGTAATCAAAGGTTGTTAAGTGCTTGTCAGCTTCCTTTCAAGCTTAGTCTATCTTTATCATGAGGCAGACTTAGTTCAGCAGCTAGAGACCATGTATTCATAAATGGATCACAGTCAGGAATAATGCATTATATCATGAAAATACCCATACTGCTGCAGAAACATTTGTTCTAAAGCAATCTCTTTTTTCTGAAATAAGACTGTGGCCAATGAAGGTGAAATCTTGTCATGTCTCTGTAAAAAGGCTACTTTCCCACACATGAAAAGCTTTGTTTCCCAGCACCTCCTCTCTCCTTTGAGCCCTGTCCCCCAAGGCCTTTTAGCTTAGCTTAGATTCTGGAATATATGCAGGGAAAGATATGTTATTTTAGAGTTTTAGTTGCACTTGGAGTTTATTTCAGTTTTTCCAGCTGCCCTCTCCAGTTATAGTAGTTTGCAGTTTGCTGGCCACAAAAAAAAGGCCAGGTAACCTTAAATGGAAAACATTTAGAGTAGATGCTGATGAACTCTCTTAAAGATACAAAGATATTCTTTTCAGACATCTTGATTAAAGCCATAAAATAATAAATTGAAGAAAACTGAAGCAAGTCATTAGTTGGGGAAATCAGTATAGCTCCACTGAAATGATGAGCTGCATTACTTAATTCCACCTGTGCACTACATTTGAAATATGTCCAGAACTACCTAGTATTAAAAAAAAAAAAAAAAAAAATCTGTGAAGAAATTTCATAGTCTTTTGAAAATATGTGTCAGAGTTAAATGCTCCTGGAGAAATATCAGCAGAAGATACATCTCTCCAACCTATCAAATTGTTCATAAGTTTATTGGCTGGGAAAGATACGGTTGCAGGAAGAATTAAAGAAATTCTGAATGGTAAATTAGTAATAAAATACTCTTATCAGTGGAAGCCTTTGGAGAACACCCAAGACAGACTTGAACTGAAAGGTTACAAAAATCATTTATTATTAATAAAACTTTTGTTGAAGGAGTTGTGTGCAAGGACTGTTCTCTTTCCCCACAATATCTGACTAGCATCATATGGATTGCTTTCTGACAAAGACTGCTAGAGTTTACAATTTGTGATCAGCTACAAGTAAGTGGAAGGCTTCCTTTGGCAGTGTAAGGTGCTGTGCAATATGACTAAATGAGGGCTGTGAAAGGCATAGATTGTCTTTGCCCTAAGAGCAGCCTCGTTCCCATCAGACATCTCAAAATCAGACATCTCAAAATCAGACCACTAAGGTGCAGTCAGACACTGAACGATATAACCCTACCAATCTGTTCTGGTTTAGAATCCTCCTTTGCCTCTCTATTTTGGGCGTACAGTGTTGCTTCCAGGACTGACAGTTTGGGGCCAGTTACAATCAGCAGCTTGAGGGCTGCATTTATATTTGAGGCAGCCATTTACTTCTTTTCCCAAACTCTCTTTCCTTATGATAAGGCTGCAAATAAATGATGCTGCAAGCACTGTATCTGGGAAAGCTGAGAGTTTGCAGAGGATAGGCTGGTTCTGTGTACTGACAGCTAAACAAACCTGAGGTATCCTCATACCAGAGCCTTACTTCTTCTGTTCCTGAGCACACCATATCTTCAAATTAAATTTAAACAATACCTAAACAAGCTCACTTATTTTAAAATCATAAAATGACAACTCTGTGGACACGTTCCTTTAAATTATTTGAAAGATCTCCTCAATAACTTGTAGTAATTGCTCAATATATTGGAAATTTCACAATTTCCCAAGTGCACACATCCTGAATGCTACAGGACCTCATGCCCCTCCTAAAACTTTCATATGACCTGCAACTACAAGATGTTGCCATAAAATAGCACACTGGTACTAGAACCATCCTCTGGATGAAATCAATGCTCTTTGTGCATAAACACACCTTAAGGAGAAATAAACAAAACACAGTCACTGCACTCCCTTAAAACAGGGTAGATTGCACATCAGTATTTTGGTTAGTCAGCCACCTCACCAGCAATCAAAATAAGCAACTTAATTACAAATGGTATTTTTGGAACCTGAAAGGAGTTACAGCACAGAGGATGTGATCTATCTGCATTTATGGTGCTTTCATTTGTAAATTCACCTTTCAAGCAAAAGCCACATATTTACTTGATATAAATTTCTACTCACTCTTACCTTGAACAGTCTCAAAGTTATCAGTCATGTTCCACACATCAGTATGAACTGAGAAGAACCATTGGCACCCTTCCTAAAATGTTTCAGAGGCCTCTCTCTCCAACAGCTTGATGGGTCTGAGGGACCCATCATAATCCTCAGTGTGATAGAAGTCTGTGTTACCCTGAATGGTGCCTGTGCCTAAACTACCAAAATATTGTAATGTGTGACTTGCACTTCTTGTTTCCTCCCTCATGATATGTACAATACCATTCACTTGCTCACTGTGGAAAGTTCACATGATTTCCATCCCAGATTTCAAAAACTCCGAAACCACCCAACTGATTTCCTGTCAATTTTTCTCTCCACTCTGTGTCAAGAGCACTGCAAGATCTTTTAAGCTGCACTGCAGGGAGTCAACATGCTCTTAGGTGATGGCAGCATACCAGTATTAATAACCTAGTTCAGCATGCAGTATGCAATTATTTCCCACTCTCCTCCTGATTTTTTTCCCCAGCCTATTTTAATTTTAATTTATATGTTGGTAAAGATTCTACCTTTAAAAAAGACAGATAGTCCACAAGGCTTCCATTATGCTGCAGCTGCTGCTGTTATATTTGTCACTAAAAAAAATGTCACCTTGTGTGACAATGGGATTTGAATAACAATTGCTAAATATATCATATATAGAAACTTGATTGCTTTGCTTTATTTTTCCTGAAGGGGGAAAATGTGAGGGGAAAAACCGTACAGTTCATTTCATGCTTCACTACAGTGTAATTCTAGACCCTAAGATTTCAACCATTCCTATTTTGGTAATGAATGGAATGTAAAAGGGAGGTATTTAAAATTAATTGCTGCAGTTCTGAGGGTTAAACCTGCTTAACCCAACCTTTTATTAAGAGAATGTCAACAGAGCATATATCTTGTCTAGGGAGTGCTGGGACATCATTATTCTTCTACCAGCATGTTTAATTCTAAAACCTGGGATTTCTTCAGGTTCCTGTAGGCGTCATGCACACCATAAACCCATCCCAAATCATAGCATCTGTTCTGAGCTACTCACTACAGCAGGATTTGACCTGAGAAACTCTAGAGTTTTGTTTTACTTTATTAACTTGGAGTACTTTTAAACAGTTTTTAAACAAAGTTTTTCCCTTGACCAGCAAGGGAATTTTCAGCCTTAAGTTCTCAGCAGCATCCGGTGAGGCTCTTGGCCAAGTCCTCCAGATACTGTATATCCACAAGGACAGCCTGCTGGCTCTTGCTGTGGCATTTTCTTAATCCTCAGAACAGATTTCCTGGATCTAGGAAATTTAATTCCTGACTCCTTTGACCCAGATGCTGGCAAAAATGTAGTCTGCAGTCTGTACGTAAATATGTGTGTTCAATTTTTTTTTCCTTCTAGGAACTGGCCTTGCTGTTAAATTTTTCTAAAACAGTCATATTAATATGTTCAAAAATCCACTGTTGAGTTTCAGATAAAGGATCACATCTGTTCATGAAAATCTTCTTCTCAGCTGGGTTGCAATCTATGCAGCTGCTGCTTACCGGATGGAACAAAGTTTTGTCCTACAGGAATGAAAAAAAATAGAATTAAGTAGCAAATGCCAAATCATTGGAAGTGTTCTAATTTTACAGAACTCAGATTAAAAGGGCCCTGTTTGAAATGACTTTGTGGTCTCTGCGCAATAACCTTGTGTAATAACAACAGCTATTATTAGAAAACTGTAGAGAATGGAATTTTCTTCCCTTGGGCTATTATCTTTTATGAAAATGGGGATTCAAGAAAGAGGGAGATATCATCTGGTCTTTGACTAACAACAACATAATATAATGAAAAAATAGAATGTCTTTTAATATCTTTGCATAACACATATTTGCTTGAATGTCTGAACTTGAAAAATGGATTTGTTTGGGTTTTTTTTAGAGAAATCTTACTCTTGACAGGATTGTGTTTCTTGGCAGGGGGAGCTGTAAAATCTTCAACTTGGTGAAGATGTTAAAAATGAATTATTAACTGAAGTGGTGGACAGATGGACACAGGATTGATGTTCTCATCCCATTCAATGTCTGTGGCCTTGCTAAGACCAGCCACTGAAATACACTCTCTCTCCTAATAAGATGGAAATCCTAACACTGATTTAGCTCCATATGGAGATTTTGTGAGGGCAAGCATGGATTAAGTTGCTTAAAAAAGTATATTTATGATGATCAGTTTTATTAATTTTACTTCACAAAACTGGAGTGAATAGTAAGTAACCTGATGTGAATCTTTGTGAAAGCAGTCAGTTGAGCAGGTGGTGAGTTGTGTAGTTTCAATATACTTAGTTGATGTAGGCAAGTGTTTTGAGAAAGACAGATGTGGGAGTCATTAGATGGTTTGAAAATTTCCAGGGACTATACTGCATCTGTTGAAATAAATTTCATATTACTCTTGGTAAACCACATTCAGGCTTTTCCCCTCCATGCTGATGATTGCCCTGACGGTATTTTAATACTAATCCAGGATATGCCTGTTGCCCAGTTTGTGAGAGGGAAAAAAATCTACTTGTCAAATTGCAATTGATTAAAAACTGACACAAGTACTCTGGGTGCTGAGCAACAAACATAGAAACTTCTCTTTAAAAATACCCTACATTCAAAATAAAAAAAAAAAGTACGACAACAAACAGAAACTGCAGCTATTTAAAACCGCTTTGAAAAATTAAGGTTTTTTTTTAATTTAGGAAAGATTAAATTCACTAATTTGTGGTTTGTGAAAAAATGGTAAAGTACAATGCCTCTTTTTAAAATTAATATATGCAATAAAGAACCAAGTCAAAAGAACCTTGTGCTCTGTCTGAGCACAAAGTGTTGATGGTGAGAAGGTGTTACACCTGCCTTTCACACTGTTTTACTTTCAGCACTGGCCTTTCCCCAAAAGCAGTGGATGAACACACACGCCCCCACCAGACTGAAATTCAGAGGGATGCCATCAAAGCTGACAAGACCAAACCAAATGAGCAGAGGCCTTTCACTCCTGTTCTACAAGGAGAGCAGGCAGGATGCTTCAGCTTGCAAGAAGGGGATAAGTGTACTGTGTACAAAAGGCTACTGTGTCCCTGCTAGGAGGTGGGCCTACAAGAACTGCCAGGCACCCTAGGGGGAGGTGCAGGCACCCATCTGCACCTTGCCACCTCCTCCTGTACTAATAAGAGCTTGATGGAGTGGCACTGTCTGAAGTGCCATAGCCACTACTGTGCCATAGCCACCCTGCCTGATGTGGGACCTTGAAGGAAGGGGGCATACAGTTTTTATGGCAGTTTAGCTGGGAATGAGGGCCAGCCAAGATATGAGGAAGTCAAAGCTGGAATGCTAGAAGCTTTAATAAGATAGCTGGTACAAGAAGAAAGGAAACAGCTTCAGCACAAAAAGCTTGCTATGAAAAACACTCCAGCCTTTCCAGAAAGCTGGCAGTCTTTCTTACAGAAATATCACAGGCAGGCAATTTTTGAGGGAAGCATTATTGCTGCTTTTATTTAGAGAGTCTGGTTATTGGAAAGAAGAGTGTCTTTTAAGAATAGGGACAGAGTTACCACTCTAGAAAACTTCTGGCTGACTTAGCAATATATAAAGGCCTATTAATTTATCGTCTCAAGCTTATGCTGATTTAAGGTCAAAGCCTGGTGGTATTATCTTCCACCGGATTTCAGTGGAAACAGATTTAGGACTTCAAGGGGTAGTTGCGTGCATCCCAGAGAAGAAATTTACAAGAGAAATAAGTAAATTCCTCTTTACATCAATATTGAGAAACCACAAGCACTCTTGTGGAGAGATTCTAACATCTGAAAACAGCAGAATATTTTTTCCCCTTCTGCATGAAGGAAAGCCTGAAGATTATTTGCAGAAGGAGAAACTCCTCCATACGATAATTTGTCTCGACAGTTCAGGGGGGTTGGTAATGACACACAGAGCCTTTCATTTCTTATAGGTCACTGCTGTAACTATGGCCAAAGTCAAGAGCAACTGGAAGTCATTATCAGCTGGTAGCTATGGTAGTTTATCTGAAACTGTTGGTAGCTCCAGTGCAGTTTCAGCAGGACTGAAGTCCATATGATAAAAGCCACTATCACTATGACATGTCTTCGTCTTTCTGAGGGGATAATCTACACACCTCCTGCATGACAAGTGAACTGACTCTTATAGTTTGTCCCTGCAGCTGTCAGGACACTATGAGTAAACTCCTGTCTTCTGGGCACAGTTTTTGACGCTGTCAGTCTAGCATCTATCATAATCACTAGGTTCAGGGTAGAATTACCATATAATGAAATTGATTTTGCACAATTGTTTCTTTTTAGAGACCTACTAAATCAACCCTCTCTTGGATACTTCTGCTCTACAAATAGCAGTAGTGGGCCTGTGGCACATAAATTGAATCATACTTTATCAGAATCAGTGCACTCCCTGTCAGTCCAGAATGATGCTACATTGAAAACCAGAGGCGTACTCCTTCACTATGAGGAACAGAAATTTGTAGGCACTGCTCATCATTGGCTCTGGCATGCTTAGGAATATCAAACAGAGTCAAAGAAATGGCTTTAGCTTGGGAAGCTAAAGCTATTCTCCCAAACATCTAATAATTACAGGCTATTTACATTTATCTATCTAATATCTTACATTGCTCCAATATGGTGCCAATATTTTTTGTCCTGGCATTACTCACATCCTATTTACAACCCACAGCAATGTTTGCCGTACTGCTTGGATTTATTCTGCTCCATTGCTTCTTACAGGGTTTTCTCAAAGGTATACTTGGCTGTAGACCAGTATTTCAGATTGGTCCTAAGAAAATTGATTACTTAATATTGCAGACTTACAAGACTTCAAATAGCTGCCCAGATGTAGTTTAAACAGTATGGGAATAAGAACAGTTTTCTGACACGTTTATTAGTGGTAGTTTTGGCTTCATTCATGTGAAAAGAATGTGGTTTGCATGCTCTGAGACTGCACTGCAATGAGAAGCAAAGTGCACATAATGGGCGTGGGCTGCAGATTTTTTCCAGAAGAGCACTCCTCACCCAAAGTAAAATATTAATGTATTCTACTTGCCACTAAAATATTTAAACTGTTTTTATTTGCCAGGATCCAAAACCAAGGCTGTTATGATTTCTATGCTATAAGTATATGGAATCTGAAAATAGTGCCTGGCTTCAAATAGCATTTGCAGCACTTTGTAGTCACTTCACTGCCATAACTTTTTATCAGTGACTCAAGATGCAAATGATCATGAGAAGAGACTCATCTTTAAATTAATAAAAACCTCTTATCTTCTAGTTTTATAGAAATAATATAAGAGCTTGATAAGAAATACTTCATATTAGGCTTCTAGGCTTCTTGTAAGACATTGACAAGCAAGGTCATTTCTCCTAAAGCATGAGAAGAATTTTTGGCAGGATGGATACATGACCATTAGGAAGCTACAGTGTCTGTAAGTGGTGCAGAGAACAGAAGAGAGTGGCTGACCGGCTCTCTGTTTTTAAAAGGAAACACTTATTTCTTAACCACATTATTACTCTTATTTATTTAGGGTGCAGATTCAGTAGCGTACCATTCCCTAGGTAAAAGGCTCTAGCAGAGATCAGTTTTTGTTTTATAGGGGGGAAAACACTACAAGTTCTATTGCCAAGATGCTTTCAGAGCTGGAAAAGGATTGTACCACATATAAGGTTTTTGAAGGTGTAGCTATACCACCAGAAATCTCTAATGTAAATCTGCCCTTTACATGAGGAAATAGATTATAGGGCACATTAAAAAATACTTACTGTGTAGCAAACTAAAACTAAGCTAAAAGAAAACCATGTATATATAGTTCTATTATTCCAATGCAGTTTCTCGACTCGAAGGTTTATGCAAATTGACCAGGTTGCTGTCAGGCTGGAATTATGGTTAAGAATGTGTCAGTACTTCCATCATAACAAAACTTTGTGATGTTTCTTGCTGTGATGGAAATGCCTGTCTTGCATTGAGAATTTTTATACGAGCCCTGTCAGCCTCGTGGAAATTAAAAATGAAGCTGTGCAGAGAATTTAATAAAACTTACACTGTGTATTTTTTCCAAATGTCATTTTTTTTCGATGCCTGCTATATTCTGTCCTCATCAAAGGTGATGAGCCTTACAGAGTGTAGCTCCAGACCTGCATTTTGTCTTATGAACCGGCTATATTGAGCAACAATGAAGTGCTAAGAATATGAAAGCTTTTTGATTTGCAGCTTGGGTAGGCAAAGAGATAAATTGGAAGGGTTTTGAAGGCAGAAGGGATTATTAAGGCATTATAAAGTCAGATAGGCAGCAATACAACCACCACAATTTACATCCTCTAAATATCTGCCCCATACATTCTAACTTTCTTACAAGTAATATCTCAGCTTCAAAGGGATTACATTTCTGGAAAATCTTATGATGGACCTCGACTTGCAACATAAATAAGGTAAAAAGGCACAAGCTAATAAGTAGGCACTCAGAAAAAAAGCATCAGAAGAAACCTGTTTTTAATGGTTCTGAATTAGTTTTGTACTATATATATTTTTAAACTAGAAAACAGTATTGAGGTTTATCTGGCAAAGACCAGTTCCTGGTACTTTGTTTCCAGCTCAAACAAGGTGAAGGGCAAGGCACAATGGTGAAAGAAAACTGAAGCATGTGTGAGAGAAATCCTCAGCGCTTTAGAGAAATCCTTATCCTGAATGGAGTACATAGTGTATTAGTGAAATCTTTAATCAAGACAACTTGCTGATAAATTATTAAAAAACCCTAACAACAACACCAAGTCAGTAGCATTACCAGGACTTTTTACCACAACTGAAGCTCTGACAGTTTCTAGCTTGACCTCCTGTTTTCAGTGATTTATAAAAATGGGCTGAAATTCAGCAGATCAAAGTAGTGTCTAAGCTGCTTATCTTTAGTTTACAAACTCCTGCCTCCTTTGGGCTTACAGCAGTGCTTTTAATGTTGGGTGGGTTTTTGTTTTTGTTGGGGTTTTTTTGTTTGTTTGTTTGGTTTGGGTTTTTTGAGGGAGATTTTTCTGCCACTTATAATCTTTAAAATGTAGTAAAGTACTTTTAACTTATGAGCAGCATGTCTTGTTGCTGTCACATTGGATGAAAATATTTCCAACAGTGCCTCTGTTAAAATGACACAAGCATCTTGAAGCGCCAGAATGGTAAAACACCTTTCAGGGAACAGATCCAATACAGACACCCTCTGAGCTGGATCAGATCCATTTTCATTTAAATTTGACCTAAATATCTGAATGCTCAAAAGGAACATGAATATGTTTACAGAGATTACCACAAAATTAAATTGGAATAGGATGTGGTGGATTTTAAAACAGAAGTGCTTTGACAAGAAAGCACAAGCCTGTGCTAAACTGAATACAGGCTCAAGACGGTCTGAACCTCCGAGATGCCCCACAGTGACTCTGACCTTCCTATAGCTCCAGTGCTGGTTTCCCTTCATGCCATGACAGTCATACAGTGTGACAGGGCTACTGTGCGAGATGGCGTCGAAGCAGAACTTCCTGGTGTGAAGTGGCTCCCCAGGGCGGATGTCTTCTCTCCAACCAAAGGTGAAGAGCTGGGAAAACAATCAGGCAATACAATCACATATTATTAGTGAGAAACATTTAAAATAACACACAACAGCTTAATGCAGGATTCCCTTTTCGCACACCTCAGATGCTGGTTAAATGAAGTCCTGCCTGTGTACGATTCAGTGATGCCAACTGCCTTAAAAGTGCATCAGTGGCCATGTAGAATATACCCCAGGAAGGCACAATCTCGATGTCAGGGAAGGAAAAAAATCTCTAGTGACACAGTACTGCAGAGAGGAGGAGGGATATGCTGCATTAAAGCCTTCAGTTACCCATTTAAAGCAGCACCTGTGTGCACTAGGACTTCAGCTCCCTAGGATTCAGAAAGCTGCCGCCAGTGATGTTCCTTTAGCTCTCATTTGGGTCTGAACAAGCTGCCCAGAGAGATTTTCCCATCACAGCCTCTTTCCTATGTTTAATGAGCAGTTTCCTTCTGTTTATAAGGGACACTGTTACCACAGCCTCTCTCAACTGTCTTTTTTCCCCAAACAACACATGTTAAATGATCTTCATCTTTCTACTTTGGAACCTGTGAGCTACAGGCAGCTTGTCAAAGCCCTTTTTCTCACTGCCTGAGAGGAGTCATGGAGGGTCACAGTTAATAGAGGAATCCTTCTCAATTAGACACCAGCTGTCTGAAGTGATGCTGTGACACTGCAGTCTTTCAATCATCAGATGAAGGTGACAGTTCTGACAGCATCAAATTTAAAGATGTGGAGTGCATTTTCCTTTCCATGGACCAATCCTTGCAGAAAAGAGGTTGCAGGCTGTAAATTACTACCTAGAAGCTCTGTCAAGAGCTGTGAAGTTATTTTATTTTCTTTCTTTTTTTTTTTTTCTTTTTTTGAGTGAGTGCTATTCTTCAGCTTTCTGCATGACTTTTGATTTGCCATAGGAAAAAAAAAAAAGAAACTAGCACTGAGAAAGTGAAGCTCTCTTCAAATGAGCAAACTTTGCTAGCAGAAACTGTTCAGCTGAGATGGTTCATGTGCAACTGCATGCAGGCTCATTATCCAGAGAAGTAGCTCCCCAGACTGAGTTCAGCTCCCCATGCTGAATTCAGACTGTCTCCAACACCTCATCTCAGCTTCCTTTTGGCCCTTATCTAGCAATTGGCTACTCCAGTGTGTACATTCCCTGATAGAACCAGCTATAAACTGAAGCTTAATAAATATCATGTGGGTCTGATCCTGAACAATTCTGTAGTGGTTCCCAGGTTTTGACCTTTTCATTGCTATAGTGACCTTCTTTCCACAGTCTTTCTAAAATAAACACCTCTTAAAAATACTGCATCTTCAATGCTCTTCCATCCTCTGGACACCACATTTGAAAGGTGTTACTGTCTCTCTTGGCTTGTAGGCCCTAAATACAAGCATATATCAGAATATTTATCTTTTTTCCCCCTGTTTCTTACTGTAAGCCCTTGTTTGCTCTGTTAGCTGCTGTTACTCCCTATTTATATCTGCATTATAGGTTTTCTAGAGAGTATTTTCTTAATCTGTCTCTGTGTCCTGCTTATTTGTTCCATCTCCTAGACTGCATTTTACATTTATCTACAGTAAAATGCAGCGGACAGCTTTAACCTCATTTTCAAAGCAATTCCTCCTTTTCAAAAGGTTAAATCTTTTTCCCCTTTTCTTCATGTTTCTTTGAAACATCATCATGGTCTCCCTACAATAACTTATCATTTCACAAGCAAAGACAGAAGTAAGATTTGGTACAGAAAAAAAACTATGCTGCTGTTTCTTCAGGAAAAGAGAAGCCTAAAACAATTTTCCTTTAACAAAAAGCCAACAAAAGCCATTTTCTTTATCTTACCCTTTACCTTTCTACAGACACATAATAAACCCAGAGTTCCAAGTGATGAATAGCAAATACCTAGAGGAATGGTGTGGAACAGTGTTTCTGTGATATTCTCACTCTCATTAGTACTACTGCAGAAAGAGATTCTATTTCAGGACCAGCCTCATCTTTCCCAGTGGGTGGCTCGCCAAATTTCTCATTCTGTGCATGAGCTGTGAGCTGAGGGACCAATTCTTGCTGCTCTCTGGACCTTGGCCTGAGGACTAGTACCCCACTGAACGCATCGGTACACCTGAAAGAGCTCAAGCCAGCCCTCAAATCAGATCATACTGTTCAAAACTATTCCTTTGCTCTTTTCTACTCCTCTGCAGTTTCTGAAGACTGCCAGGGCTGTGTCCTGTTTTCAAGTCAAGACATGGTAACAGCAGAGGGTTTTTATTCCCTTCCACTGAAAATTAAGATCTGTGTAATACTAGATATCAATGTTTAGACTAGCTTAGATTCTTATTCCTCCTTCTTTATCCTCCCCCTTTAAAAAAAGTTTTATTTTTAAATCAACAAGTATGTCTTCTACCTAGTGATATTATAAAACCAACCTTTTTAGGCACAGAACCTCAGTTTTAGGACTAAGAGAGAGAAGAGAAAAAATCAGAAAAAAGGTTTCTACTTCTCCATACAACCAATTGGTATTAAGATCTTGCAATTACAGACACAACATGAAGGTGTACAATCTTTCCAATCTCATAATTCTAAGCTTTCCTCTTTTAAACAGCAATTTCCCTCTAGTTAAAACTGAATCTGGCCAATATAAACATTATCTCCTTGCTGCATAATGTCCAACAATGCTACATGTTATTAGCTGGAGCCCAGAGTATATCATGTTCTGCTTTGCCAGCACTTGTCACTCTGGATTTCGTTGTTCCTTTGTTAGGAACAAACTGTGTCAGATTTTACAAGAAATGGCTGAGCCTTTTTGTACCCTTTTTGTACTTCATTCATTTCTGGCTGCTTGTTGATTTGAAACAAGGCTGCATGAAATTCCCAGACACATCATTAACAAACAGCAGGCTGATTCTTCACCTGCAACACATGGGGTTGCTGTTCACTGTTCCCTGCGGGACCCAGAAACCCTCTGTCCTGGCTCAGTGCACGCTCATTCTGTTCTTTCACTCTCTCTCATACCAGAGTCTGTAAAACACAGCCCCATCCTCTGTGTTTGCAATCAAGCAACCCCTCAGCCCGCATGCTTTGCCTTTTCATGTAGCCGAGCCCTGTCACGCAGTAACTGGGAAATGCAGCTTTCCAGCTTCATTTACAATTGGCACAGGGCCTGAAGAATGATTGCCTGATAGAGCCATTGGCCTGGGACTGTCTACAGGACAAAGGCCCTTTTGATGCCATTAATGCTTTCCAGCTTGGCAACGTCGCTCAATTACTCGCTGTCTGGCTGGGGTCTGTCAGCTGGCACTGTGCTTTGACTGTGCCATTACACTTGAGGGGACAACGTGTACTCCCATCCAAAGATGAAATGCCATGTTTCAGAGCTGGGCTCTAGCTTGAACTATCCCTCCAAGTAGAGAAGAAAGAGCTGGGCATTGCTGAGCCATGTTAGAGATGGTGCCTGTCCACCCATTCCCTGGCAAGGCTGGGGAACTTGATAAGAGACAGTGATACTTGTCATTTTCCTTTGCTGTTGGTTATCAGTCCAGCAGAGTGTCAGTTTCCCCTGAAGCCAAAAGCTAGCTTTGGAAAGACAGAGATGGATGAATGCAGTGCCATGACATATCCTCCCATCACTTTTCTCCCCCTCTGGTTCTCAATTTTTTGGGAAGTTTCCCAAAACCACAGTGACACATCCTCACTTCTCCCCAATCTCCCATTTACCAGAAAGCCTGCAAGCACCTTTTGACTGCTGCATGCCCAGGGGCTTGCACAGCCCTGAGGTGGAGGGTCATCTGCTGGGGTCTGCTAAAGGGCTGTGCCCCTGGCCTGGTGGCTGAGACTGTCAGCTTTTAATTCCTGCCCTGGTAACATGACATGAATCAAGCGGCACAAAGGATGATCTCTGGCACTGACGCCTGCTGCACTGCTCACGCTAAGCTACTATAGCTCGCCACTGAACTCTGCAAATTTATACCTGAAATTACAAGTCTACCTCAGCATCAATCCATGCTATTTGAAATATAATAAAATACTTCATACTTTTATTAATACTGCTGGTTTCTACTGGTGTACGCAGAACTCATCGAGGCTCAAATTCCGTGAGATCTAAAGAAGGAGGAGGAGCTCTGTGAGGCTGGCCCGGGGTTTGATGCCCCACATACGATTGTGACAGCAGCGCAGGGCTGGCCCTGAGGGGCGCTGGCCCTGAGGGGGGCAGGCCGTGAGAGCGGCCGGCCCTGACGGGCGCCGGCCCTGAGGGACACTGGCCCTGACGGGTGTTGGCCCTGAGGGACACTGGCCCTGACGGGGCGCTGGCCCCGACGGGCGCCGGCCCTGAGGGACACTGGCCCTGACGGGCGCCGGCCCTGAGGGACACTGGCCCTGACAGGGCGCCGGCCCTGAGGGCGGGCGGCCGAAGCCGCGGCGGGCCCGTTCCGCTGGGCCGCGCTGCCCCCTGCCGCCCGCCCGCCGCACGGCAGGGATGAGCCGCTGCCGGGAAGTTTTCCGCGCTGTGCGGCAATGCCAGAGGATGCGCTGCTCCCCGCCAGCCCGGCGGAGACGATTCCTGCTGTCCCTGGGGCACACGTCGAGCACCGAAGTGCTTGAGGCTTCCCAGCTCTGGTTCTGGGATCTAAGAAGCTGTATGGTTGAACTGCCTACAGATTCTAATGAAGTCACTTTGTGTCCTTAGCAGAGAGGCAGGACCTTTAGATCCAGTCTGATCCCAAAGGTTGCAGCACCCTGGAGTACGCTGAAACATGGATTGCTCCCTAATAGCTTTCTCCCTTCGTGTCATTTCCCATTTGTTCCAGCCTTTACTCTTTCAAAAGATATTTCAAGTCTCCCTTTTCTCTGCTAACATTTTTTTCTTCTCCCACTTTTCATCCAACTTTTTTTTCTTCCTTTCTCGTATCTGGCAGCATCAGCATTCCCTCCTCCTTTCTTGAGGAGGGTTTGGGGCTGTGCAGATTTTAAAGTCAGAGAACACTGATGGGTTTAGTCTGGACCATACAATTTCTTTCAATTAACTCCCTAAATTACTGTATGTCTTTCAGAAACAAAACAATTATATTTATCTAGTTTTGGCACCCTATCCCCATGCAGTATCTTTGGTAGCTATCTGAAGAAGTCTTCCTTCAGCCACTCCATTTTTTGGGCCATGTTGTCATTTACCTCAGCTGAGAGACTCCTTCAGCTTCTTGGTTTCATGCACTTGCAGCTCTCCTCCTGCATTTCTCAGTATCCTCAGAGCATGCTTTTTTGACCTCAGCACTTCAAATACCCCTCAGAACTCCTCTCTCTTGAGCTTTTAAGTTTTTACAAAGTGTCGTGTGACTGCCAGGCCAATTTTTCTCCTCAGTATCACAAATCTTTTACTAATCTTGGACCTTTTCCTGTGAAAGACTTACTCACTAAATTTGCTAATAAACGGTTAGGTTGTACTTTTCATCTGGATTCTCCTTGCTCACATTGGCAAGACCCACGGCCTGTAAGTCATAATCCCTTTCCTATGGCACTCACAATTAGTAAAAATTAGAGCTCTTTTCCTCCCTACTCCTGAGAACTAATAGTTTTCTACCTAACCAACCTAAATAAAAGCGCTTTTTGAGTCTTTATAATTCCTTGTCTTTTGAAATGCTTTTTTGCTTGCTTCTACCCATTTATCTCACTTATGCCTCATATTTGTTTAAAATATAATTCCTTACTGAGATAAAAGCATAAAAACAGACAATGACAGGAGCTGTGAAAGGCCTGGTACTATAATTAAAATATTTTCAGGTAGCTCAACCAAAATCAACGTGTTTTCATGACACAGCGGGGGAAAATGGGGCCTCAAAAAGATCTCTGGGCATTGCAATTCCTTTTGGAAATGAAGACAGCCCAGGTGGCTGTTGGAATTTTTGAAGTTAAGAAGTACTTTGTAAAAGCCATTAAGGTCAGTAATAATTCAAAAATTATTTCTACACTCTGTTTTACCTTAAGAAAAGGAGAAGCCCTGAGGAAATGTTTAAAAACTGGGAAAGAGAAGCAACAATGTTACCCTGATTTTCTCTTTCCACCATTAAAATAAATACCTGTTCATGTGACCACGTTCGTTCTGAGCCGTCCTTCACACAGATGTCCAGCCTCAGCTCAGTCCCTGTGGCTCCATGTTTGCTGTCCACACACAGGTTGGCTGCCACGTTTCGAATCTGCAAAACCAAGCAGCAACATTTCACATCAAACTGGGCTGCAGAATGGAGCCTTCAGCATCAGGGGTTAGGAGGTTAGCTCTGAAGGACTTGAGATTGACCATCGGTTTTGTGAAACTGGTAAGAATTACTTTTCACAGAGTAGAGAGCTGTATCCTGGAATGAACTACTCTTTATAGGAGCAGCTGCAGAAGAAGCAAAGTTTGAAATATTCTGCTTAACAAATGAAAGGTGGATCTTATGAAATACCTTCATGCAAAAAAGACTAAAGAGAAAAAGAGTCTGAGAAGTTCAAAGCTTGTCTGACTGCTACATCCATCCTATGAGAGCAAGAGAGATCAACAGTATTAGAAGGAACTGATTCCTGTATGAGTCTCTCCCAGGCATGGGAGCAGTCAGCATGCATTAGAAATTCAGGCATGCCCTGCTCCAATCCATGCTCTTACTTTGACACAATAACACCATTGTAGATAAGGTCACACATTACTCCCTGAAGTGCATAAAATTAAAAAGTACTTAACAAGTCTGCACTGAAACTTAGGCTTTTAAAAAGTACTTAACAAATCTGTACTGAAACCTATGCTTACTCATGGAGGTTCCTCCTGAATGCCTCCTGCAAACACTGCAGTGTAACTTGTTCTTAAAAGGAAAATCTTGTTCTTGAGGCTGAAGCCACTGAGTAACAATTAATCTGTGACTATCAATCATACCAGTTATGTACTACTGCTGACATATAAATCTTCTCTGACACATTGGCTTGAAAAGTAGATTTGCCCACTGCCACCAAAAAGAGCAAAATCCTAACTTTGTGTTGCAAATCCATGCATATTTCTCCTTGAGTTCCTTAGCTGGGCTAGTTAAAAATCCTTCAGACACCTTCATAATGAAAAGGATTTCTTAAAAAAAAACTTACCCTCTTGATGAGATAAACAGAAACCCAGTAATCAAAGTGCATCGAAACATGCACAGATTTTAAATGTATAATATATAGAAAGCAGGTGCACATTTTGACATTCTGGACGCTACTTTGATCCTTTTTTAAAAGAAAGCTAGATGCTTTCTAGAATGGAGATACAATTGAGTAGTCTTTTGTGCTTTTTCATGAAAAATACTTTAGAAGTCACTGCTGTTGCCATAATATGACTAAAAAATGTACACATTGCCACTGCATACCTCACACACATCCTAAGGATGGAAAACTTCACAGCATTGCATAAAACACTGAGAGGAAGGGAAATCCTTGTGCATGCAGGACACATGCCAGAGCTACTCTGCTCTTTTTCTGCTTTTGCAGGAGTGGGATCCAGTCTATTAACCATGCTCAAGAAAGATTTACACAGACAGGAAAGCAACAGGTAGTGAGAATATGTAAAAAACTGTAAAATGTAAAAATTCTCAGGAAAGGTTTCAGGAGGTGCATTTGTTTCGCTTAGAAAATTGCAGACTGGGCAAAAGATGGGGGAGCATCAGTTTGAACAATTGCCTCCAGGAACCTTTGACCAGAGCTCAGAGAAGCATTTAAAAAAATTTTGGACCAGCCCAGTCCTAGCACATTTTTTTCTTTTTTCAATACAATAAAAGTTGCTAAAAATGAGGTAAAACACTAGCTGTTCATGCATGCAACCAGATACAGAAATCCAGCACTGGGCAGACCCACAGAAAAAAAGATGAAAGGTAATTAGTTCTCAACAACCTTCATTTCCATATTACCCAGCAAAAGAGGCAGGAAAGAATAATGAGGGGAATAGAATTTAATGTCCTATTTTTAAAGTTTCATGTGAAATACCTCCTCGAAGTATAATTTTTTTGGAGAATGTTCAATCATTTCTCAAAGCACTTAAATTTCCATTGTATAGATAAAGATTTCTGGTCTAATAGAAAATTAAATGATACATCAGTTCAGTTCTTACAGCATGCAAGTTAATTAAAATGGAACTGCTAACAATTGCCATTAATAATTTGGTATATTTATGTGATTCAGAATTGTAAAATGACAGTGAATACACTCTACATCCAATTAATGCTTATTGCATTAAAAGGCTTTCATAATTTTGTCTTGATGGCATTGCTCCAGTCTCTGTCATTTGGACTGTGCAGTAAATGTGTTCAGTCCATTTCTGGAAAAGGCCTGAGCTGAAGCTACATTTAGTTCATTCACTGCTGGAATCTGTCTCACATTCTTTATTTCCTCCCTTCTTCCCTCTACTCCTGAAAGGTTTGCTTGAGTTTTTGCCTCTGTTCTTTGCAGCTTACATGTTAGCTCATCCTTTTTTGTTTCATCCTTCCAGCTGCAGAGGGGTCATGGTTTGTTTTCTGTTTTCTTTTTGTAATAAGGCGTTTCAGTCAAGTCTGTGCTTTTGTTCTCTGGCATTTCTGTGTGGCCTTGGCAGTTGCTAGAAACTGAACTGAGCCATCATACCAGAGCCAGAGCCACAGGAAACATTCTGCCAAGCATCACCACCACACAGCCTGCAAATCCCCTAAGATGCTTCCATGGACAAAGGAAGGAAAGCAGAAACACAGGGGTATTTTTCTTCTAATTTATACACCAATATGCTTTTGAACTGCCTTGTCTCCAGTCACACAGCACAATGGATTTAGGATTTTTAAGGTTATGAGTTATAACTAGAAAACAAATTGCTAGTGGCCCTAACATGTTTCCAACATTCCTATTTGTGCAATTGTAAGACTAGGGATGAACAGGAGACAGATTTTATCAGCCATGCAAGTAAGCCATTGAGTTGCTACATACACAACTTTTTTGCTCAGCCTTAAATGCCATCATTTGTACACACAGATAAGCATACAGGAAAATCATGCTTCCCAGGACTTCGATGTATGGACTGACAAGGTTGGTAAGTGGTGATATTAAAGGCTGTTTCAGAATGAAACAAATTCTGACAAAAGCACAGGATGCTGTCTGTAAGTCATTATACATACTTAGTTCTTGAAATGCCATCGTAACTCCCTATGGACACTGTAGTCCTTGCAGAGAGCAAATGAGGTATAGAAGTATAGAGAATACAGCCTCCTAGAGCCCAGCAGTTATATTGACCAATATTCTTTGGTAATTCTAAAACTCTACAACTTTTCCCAGGCAAATGAGTTCCTGAAAGACTTGCTGTTGAGGTAGTAGCTGATGTCCTGGCCCTCCCTGCACTGGGGCCAGGCTGTCACCCTGGTATACACTTCAGCCTTCATGGAGCCTGGGAGGGGTGAGCCAGAGTGGGAGAGCCAAACTCCCAGAGGTTCTGGGAGATGCCCTGCATGCTCACCATGACATGGAACTCTCTGTACCAAAAGCAGAAGGAGGGAAAGTGTAGCAATCTAAAGACAATTGTATGTTCAATATCATCATCTGTGAACAATGACTGTGGAGATGGTGTTAGGGCAATGCTTACGGATACAGCAACAACAAAAGCACCTTGTACTATCAGTTTATATAATACTCTCCCTATATCTTATTTAATGCCTTAAATATGAAAATGGATTTAACTCCTAGAAGACATTAGCAGTATTCATTTATGTTACTTTTCTTTTGTTTGAGCAGCACTTAGAGCCAGTTTTAGTGCACTGCTTACATACTTAGATAACCCTAGGGCCATCAATGTCTATGGATCAAATATATAAAAATGAGCCACTTCTCCTGTCAACTGATAACACAGTAATTTCAGAACTATTTATCCTTTGTGTGAGCCATAGAAAAGAAAAAGTCAAAGGTAAAGAAGTCAAGCACTGCCAAAAACCTCACTGAAGAAACACGGGACTCTTACTCAGTGTGACATTGATCCTGATAAAAGAATTTGAACAGTCCAGCTGTGCAGCACTCGGTCTGTGCAGGGTGGGGTTACATCGCTTTTGTACAACAGATGTGTGACACTTGCTGGGCTCAGATTGACTCATTAAGGGTATGAGAATGACACATTTTAAAGAAAAGAAAATAACTGAAAAAAGTTAGTGAGCTCTTAGGCTTTCTTCTTTTTTCAAATGTGCCACTTGACTTTATGTGTGACAGTTTCATGTCAGTGCTGTAAAAATCCATGAGTTTGGGGCTGAGAAAGGAGTACGCTCGGGTTCTACAGCTTAGCACTGCTGCACTGAGACACTTCCTCATTAAATTATCAAAGTTCATGTAACAGCAAGTGAAACCAAGATTAAATAATTCCTTTTTGACTGAGTAAAACAACTTTTTTTTGCACCATCTTGACTATAGAACTCATGAAATCTAAAATAAATGACAATGTCTGATATTATATGATTGATTTAATGCAAAGTGTGTTTTCAAAGATACTGGAAGCTGTGGTATCTGCACAATATATTCATGCTGGATCATAGCTTGTAAATTCATGAGTACTTCCTAAGAAAACACCTTGTGGCAAATCCACACCTATTGTTTTAGGTAGCAGGACTTCAAATACATATTACAAATATATTATTCTGTCTTACAAAAAGCATGGGATGGGTATTACTGTTTTCAGCTCGTACCAGACTTCCTAGTATATTCAAAAGAGTAAGAACAAAACTTAATTGAAAACTTTCCTCTTTTCCACAGTGGAAAAGAATACATTTACGTCACTCAAATACAGAACTGACAGTCTCACTAACCTTAATCTATCTGGATTTACTGTTACATTGCTCTACTGCACATATTTCAGATGTTAGAAGGCAGAACAGATTATCAAGGGTATGTACACCCTGCCAGCTACAAGGGCAAAAGGCACCAACACACGTAAGAGATAAGTCCATGACAAGTGTGGAAAAATGACTGCTTTTTGTTTTCCAAACATCCTTCTTTTCTATCATAAACAGATCTTTTCAATAAATGTAAGGGTCAGATTTTAAATAAATGTGTTTGCAAAAAAGGAACTGAGCAGAGGCTGTTTATGAGACGTCTGCTTTCACACCACATGCTTTTACTAGCTAGATATCAAAATACTAGAGCCAAACTTGTCCGTGTACTTCATTGTTTACTCTTTCTCAGACTGGCACAGGCAAGCAGATAGAAAGTAATGGAAGCAGAGAGGGTACTAAATGACAGTCAGTCCTGGCACAGACTTGTGGTGTGTATAATCAGCAAGGTTTCAAGAGCTGCGTGATTCCTACAGAGCAGTAACATTACAGTCTGCTTCCCTCTTTCAGTTTCTCACAGCCATTGACCTTCAAGGTTTTTCAAGGTCCTCTCAAGTGCCAACAAATTAATTAAAATTGCATGGGAATGTGACAGTTTCAGGAAAAACAAGAGAAGGAGGGCTGAAAGTTTCCCTGTTATTTTAGAGAAAGTATGTTTTAAACAAAAAAGAAAATCTTTGGTCTTCATGTCCTTCCTAAGAACTTAGTAAATGCTTTTAAGGCACAAATTTCACACCATTGATATGATTTTGATTTGCTGTTAAAAATACTTGGGTTTATGCAGGGATTGTATTAATATTGCTGTTAGAAGAATGGATACCTGAATCACAAGCTCCTCCTCTTAGACCCTCTTGATTGAGTTAAGGATTGTCCAGCTGGCCAGAGAAATTACACATCTCCTGATCACAGCCCTCCAAGGACACCCATGTATAAATGTGAAAGATGGTGAAGGAAGATCACAGTAGCAGTCAGCAATCTGATCCAGCCTGACTTCTACTGATAAATTCCTTGCCTCTCACTACACATTAATCTCATAAAGAGTGGGCAGCAGGGTCAAAAAGAAGAAACTTTAACAACAAAGGAATTAATTACTGCGAAGAAGTAGCAAACAGTATGACACATATAATTCGGAGGTTTTTTGAATATCTGTAACTGATCGTTTATAAGGAAGAATTAAGTATTGCTAGTACCAGAGAAATGTATTTTAGAAATCTCACTATGAGGTAATTTGCCTTTCTAAACATAAATTCTGGAGAATAATAGAGGTTCCTATGTTTGGAAGTCTGTAGTCCAGTCTTGACCACTGGGAATATGCAGACTTGTGCCTGATCCTTCCTAATGTTTTGGTCAAAGTTTCAACTTCATCCTCTGGTTTCAAATATGAAAGTTAATTTTCTGACAGCCTCAAGAACATACACAGAAAATCAGAAAAGGCTGGAACTCACAGTACAGATATTCCTATGTTTTTTTAAAAAGTAGCACAGTACACTGGAAGAGTGAAACCTTCTTTATATATCTTAATGAACTGAGAGGAAAGAGCCTTCTGCACGTGGCCTATCCATCGCATGAAGCTCCTGTAGTCCATGGGGGCAAAGGCTACAGCAATTTTTCAGTGCAACTAAGGAAGTAATTTCCTCTCCTGGCTTTCCTTGTGTTCTCATTTCTTCTGCACAAAACAAACTGTCAAACCAAGGTTTGCTACAGTTCTGCTCTTCAGAAAGGTCTGAATGCAGAACATCTTTGATCACAGGTGGAGATTGGCAGCTGGCTGTTTGCTCTGCCCCTGCTCTGCGGTGTTGCTCAGATATTGGCTTCTCTTTTGTGGTTTCTCCCTCCCCTCATCCATCAATGGAGAAATTGTATTTTTCTGCTAGTGGTACCTCAGTAATGACAGTACCTACAGAATACACAGAACATGTGAGCAAAATCAGTCCTTTTAAAAGGAAAGTATCCAGGCCTTGCTTGTCACATTTCACGTGTGAGCACACCTAACTCCATCTGCATACAACTGTCCTTGTAAGGACAGGAGGAGATATACCAGTAGATATGCAAAAAACCCCAAGCAGTGACCTCAGACCTCCTTTTTTCTAAGGTGATTCTCTGAATCTAAAATCTTCTGAGACATGCAGTAAGGAGTGCTACATACTTTTTTACTCATTCTTGTCCTCATTGTGAATACATCATATGCCCTCTACACACAAAGCTGTAATGAGTTGCAAAAGCAACAGTGATAGTTCTAAGACATGACAGTTTCTCATTTTAATGGATAGTTCAGGGACTGTTTCAACCACTGTGAACTTCCTTAATAACACTACTTAACATCAGGTTTACTGTAATTTAATAGTTTTAATTTCCCTCAATCTAAAATGTTAGATTCATTTAAATTTGATCTGTTCCTCACCTCCCCCCAGGCAGCAGGTGGAGGCTCCACAGGAGGGTAATATTTGGGGACATCCCAAGCCACTGCAGCCATGAACCACTTGAAATCTTTACACTTGAGGTGCTTGCGCAGCTCCTTCTGGGCAGAGATGTCACCAGTGGAGAGATGCCTGTACTCAGGCCGTCGCTGGTAAATGTACTCTGCAAACTCATCCATCCACGTCTCGGCCACTCGCTTCAGGTTCTGCAGGGCACAAAAAAGAGTAAACATTAATTTCTTCATGTTTTGAGTGAATGATATTCATAACAGGGAAAATTTTAAACAAAACAAAACAAGAAATCAGCATTCCACACAATTTTAAAGCTTAGCTGGTCTCATTTCTCAGTCTTAAAACCTGGAAAAGTTCCAGTAACTGTGTGCTATCTTTACGGCAGTGTTGAGAAAACACTACAGAGTATTAAGTACCCTGCTTTCCTGCTGGCTCTGTGAGAGACAGTCTTCTGTCTGTTGAACATCCTATTTTCCTTCACATTCTTTATGCATATTCTTCATATGGGGTTTTGATTAATGATGGATGTTGAACAAAAATTTCCTTTCTGCTGCTTACATTGGTCCCTGTTTTTTCCCTGTTATTTCAGACCTGCTAATGTGGAAGAATGGTTCAAATTCTTCCTTCTTATGTATTTCACTTTGCATTTGAAAGGCATCTGAATTTCAATCTGTCATGATACTGCTTAGTCACCAAGCAATTCCTACCTAAATTTTAGGGTGAGGTCTTACAAGTGAATGCCTGGGGGCAAGCAGCCCCAAAGAGGAGTTGATCAGAAGAAAAAGACCTCCTAGGATAGGAGCCACAACAACCTGTGGCTTTCTGCACTCACTCATCCTAAGAATGTATCTAAGACTATTTAGTTTCCATGAAACCCAGTTCTGGCTGTGTTCCATGAAGTTCATTTTTGTTGTCATTTTATAGGAAACAGAATTACCTATTTTGCTGCATAATAATTTATTCAAATTATAATTAATTAAATTAGCTGCCTCAAATTATAAAATAAAACAAATGACATTACAAAGAAAAGTTCTGGGTAGACTGAAGAGATATATTTTATTGTTATTTACCACCAAGAAGGGGGCATTTTTTTCCTGTATTTTTGTTTGTTTTTAAAATTCCTCCTGCAACTCAATCCACACAAATTTATATGCAGATGTAGTGGGGCTTGGTCTATTCTGTATTGCCACAGCTGCCCAATAACCTTTTATTCCACCAAAAAAGCAACATCTCTCTGGATGACATTGAGACACTAGGGTGTTCTTGCTGCTTTGTTTGTAAAAACAAGATAATCAAGTTTTATAATATACTTTTTATAGAACACTAACAACAAAATGCTGAGATTCACTCTGTAATAAGCTGGAGGACAACATACATCTGATTACCATCAACATAAGGTAATGTTTCTTTTCAGAACATTCTTTGCATCTAAGTAAGCTAGATTCATACTCTGCCTTGCCTTCAAGATTGACTGGAAAATTCTTTTCCTGAATTTTATTAATCCATGTAAACTGAATGTCTCTAAACTAATAAGGCTTATCTGAATACAAAGACAGTAAGACACAGAACAAAGGAAGTACTTTTAGCTGACACTGCAAGATAAGTTTCTATGTACTTTCTCTCTGTGAAGCAAATATGTTAAACCTGCAGGGATAAAGCAAGTAACATTAAAGCAGTGTAAGAACTCACAACACTCATATCCCTATTCAAAAATGGCTTGTGCCCCACGTAAGTTTGACTTGTGTTGTAAATTCATGAAGACCTACATAACTTTACAAGAAATTAGAATTCAAGAATAGGAACTGGGTAGGACAAAGAAAACCAGAAAAAAATCAAGAACATCATCTGAATGACAATCTCACCTTTCTAGCAGAAAACCTGTAACACAGAAATTTTCTGACACGTAAAAATACTATGTGCTGAGATTTCATACAGGCAAAAAAAATAACATTATTAGGAACATTAAACCAAAAGGCAAAATAATGAAAATATGTGTGATTTCTAGCATAACTTTCATGGCAATGCTGCGTACCTCATTTGCTACAATGCAAATGAAGTTTAGGACTGTTCTATAAAACAGTTTTTTGCAATAACTTCATCTGATAGGCTATTTTCATACTTAAAAACCATACTATTAAAAAAAAAAACCAAAAAAACAAAAACCCATACAGTAAAAGTACAGTAAAAAATAAGAAGTTCTCTTAAGAAAGAAAAATTCAAGGTAAGTCTTGCACCACCTATACTAAGAGTAGTCTCTGATGCACTCTCTTGTTTAGTTACTTGGCTGCACTAAAAGTACTGCATTCTGCTTTAGATGATTGTTACCAATAAAACATGAGTCCAACAAAAATCTTGATATTATACCTGGTCACTAACTTAAAATTCTAATTCACTGATCAAAAACTTTTTGTTTTCCAATACCACCTTTTTAACTGTTTGGGTTTCACATGTGTTTTTTTGTAAATCCACCAAACACAGTATTAAAAAGAAAAAGAATCTGTTCTTCCCATGATTCCCCAGTATCAGGTAGGACACTTTGGATAAATCTGTTTAAAACTCTGCCTCCCTGTTCTTCCAAGACCATTCTTTCCATCACAAGCTAAAAAAATGCCTGTAATGAACTAGTATATTATCCTTACTATGTTTATACATTGATTTCATGAGCCAAACCCTTACGAGGCAGCCCTTTCAATAGATTAGTTTTTAAAAATGCAGGCTTTCAGTAGGTTTGTTTTTAAAATACATACTCTTGATTTGCTAGCTCTAAATCTCCAGACTACTTATGAACATGACCAAAAAGAACACTGTGTTCTGGAGTAGTGAGAAGCTGTTTCTGCGACAAGCACTCAGCATCTAAACAATTTAGTTTTAAAGAGGTTTGTTGACCTCACTTAGCCTGGGTTAGCATTTCTTATCCTTATTACCACTATACAAGCTCAGAAATCACCAAACTTCCTTTTAACATAAATGTGTCCTGACTAGTAGTAAAACTCCCCATACTTGAACTGAATGCAGTCAAGAAGAGCTGCTGTCCTAAAAGCTAGTTTGCTGCAACCTTGCACAGAAAAGGCAAACATCATTTACCTTCTTATTTAGAATACAGCATGTTCCTGGAGCAAAAATACAGGCTGTCCAAGATGAGATGGGTGAACTTGTAAACCAAAAATTCCCATTCTGTGGCTGTCTAGCAGCATGATAAATTGCAGAGAACCTCTTAGGATCATAACTCTTCTCTGCAAATTATGGTAGGGAGCTGCTGGGCTTTTACTCATCCTATCTGAGGAGCACAACCAAAACGAGAGGCCTCATCTCTGAGCACTTTAGGCCTACCAATCAAATAACTTACTGCAAGGTAAGGATGTAATTTCAAGTCCTTTACACGTCTTCCAGAGTTGTCATTCCCATAATTTGGGTGGATGTCTGACCCAGTGGATGGAGGAAGGAGAATGCTCACTTCCTCCTTGCCTGACCCTTAGGTGAGGCTAGATACGAGCTGAGCAGGTCATATAAGCCCCACAAGTGGGAATGGTTTTGAATAGCCACCCAATCTTGACAGAGTCTAGCTGTAAACCATGCTTTAAGCAGTTTGACTTTGATATGATTTCTCTCTGTGTGGGTAAGTGCCCCAGAACTTGCATGCCAAAGAACTTTAGGAGCCTACCAGATTAGGTCACATTGTGTTAATGTCTTACAGCATCATTTAACCACTCATTTTGTTTTCATCATCATGAGACATTTAAGTTTCACAATGAAACTAGTCTTCAAATAATTCAGAGTAACAGGAATTAGATTTGAATCTTCTTGATTTCTGTCTCCTGTTACTATTTATGTAATCTTCTACAGAGAACTCCTTTAAATGCCAGTTTCTCAAATGGCATCAAATATCACTATAGGAAGACCCAGTTTTGGTGTGTCTTTGTGGTAGATCACTTTTGCTTGGATGCAATCTGAAAATCTCATGTAAATGCATGTGGAAAGGAAAAAAAAATAGAATCATAGAATCACTTAGCTTCAAACTGACCTCAAAGATCATCAAATCCAACTGTTAACCCAGCACTGCCCAGTCCACCACTAAACCATGTCCCTAAGTGTCACATCTACATGACTTTTAAATACCTCCAGGGACGGTGACTCAACCACTTCCCCGGGCAGCCTGTTCCAATGCTTGACAACATGTTTCTACAGCTGAAAATGGCGTAGCTTAGCTTGGTTGACAAATTCATTGCAAGGCTACAGATGTCCAGATTGGTTATTCTTAATAGGAAAAAAAAAGGAAAAAAATAAATAAAAACAATTCAATGAAGATCAAATAATTATTAATTAGTTACATGAATTGACACACAAAATAAAGAAGTCAGAAGGACTCTATGTGGACATCTGAGGAGGTTCTCAGGACCTATCCAAGAAGACCAATGACAATTTGTTCTCTCTTTTGTCATTTTCAGTGAAAAATTTCTGTATAAGAATAAGTAAGGCCAATGGTATTTCAGTAGATGCATATTTCCATATGTTAGGTTGTAACAGCTGTCACAAAGAAACTGTGAGATGAATACAACAGTGACAGCAACCACACTGAGTCATCAGCTGTCATCAATTCCTCATTTACACATTCTTGATATAATCTTAATCACTGTTACAATTTTACTTTCTGGTAAATTCTTTACCACTGGGCTTACATTTAGACAAATTTTATTTAAGTTTATATGACCTCACATATTTAAGACTCTGCTTTTGCTTCGCATTTTTAATCGATAGTCTACAAGACAGTAAGTTACAATGTCACAGATACATGGATGTCATGGTTTACCCTCAGCTGACAAGTAAGCAGCACACAGCCACTTACTCAGTCCTCCTTAAAGGGGTGGGAGAGAGAATCCGAAGAGTGAAAGTGAGAGAACTCAAGAGTTGAGATAAAGACAATTTAACAGGGAAAGGAAAAACTGTGCACACAAGCAAAGCTGTTCACCTCTTCCCATGGGAAGGCTGGTGTTCAGCCATCTCCACGAAAGCATGGCTCCATCACACCTTTTGGTGACTTGGGAGGACAAACACCATCACTCTAAACACCCCTCCTTCCTCCTTCTTCCTCAGCTTTATATACTGATCCTGATGCCATATGGTCTGGAATACCCCTGTGGTCAGTTTGGATCAGCCGTCCTAGCTGTGTCTCTTCCCAGCTCCTCACCCTGCTTGC